CCCCCCCCCCCCCCCCTCTCTCAAATTTGAGAATCTACGTATGTCGACAGTGAATTTTCTTTCTCTATGGTTGATTTGCTCTAGCAAAACAATCAAGTTAGCACCTTATAGTGCGTCATTCAATGTGAAAAGCATTCATATACCAATATAGAAAACCTACAAGAATGTATAGCCGTGTTTATAATGAATCTGAGGGTATCGTCTACTTGCTTGTATCCATCAAAATCCACGTGTTGGGCGACCCAACGTATGCTTCTCCTTGTTATCTTGCTTTGCAATCTTTTAAGCCTTTTATCCCTTCTTTTGCTTCCTTTCTTTTGAAGTCCTTGACATTAAATTTATTATCACGAGAAGTTCAACAGATGTTTAAGATCCAGTGTTGATAACTTGATGGATACTATAAGCTACCATTTTCACGCTTTTGGATTGGAATGTTTTGCCAACCTTTTGACTAAAAGCTTCGTTTTTTGTAATTAGAGCCCGTCAAGTCAAGTTCGAAGCATCATACTTTAGGATATGATGATGATTTAATGTCGTATGCAAAAAGGTATTCCAAGTTTCACAAAGAATGTTAACAAGGTGGTAAAGCATATACGTAAGTTTTGTCTGTGTTAGCAGGAACTCAAAAGCAACAAGGATCTCTGATTTCGAAGACAAATCACTCCAACCAGATTGGTTTTGCTCTATGGCAGACGATGCAACAGACAACTTCAGCTTGTTGAGGCCAGTAAAATAACTTTTGGCGTTTGGTTTCTTTGTCTTATCTTTCTCTCGCTCTGATTAATGTGTCTAACTTTTTCAACTTTTGACAGTGAGGAGTCTTGTTCAGCCAGTGCAGGTGATATGAGTTTGTTTCTTAGAAATGGAGAATATATACATACTTCGTCTTTTCGTCATATTGATCGGAACAACTTGACTTGCTTTTCCTCTGCTGTTTATGTCAGTTAGGGGCGAAGCATTCAATAGCTCACAATTACACTCAAAACCGAGGCAGAGCGTGAGAAGAGGCATGAATGATGATTCTGGCCCTGGGATTAGTTACAGCGCTAACAGCATTTACTCCAGAGACCCACATTATTCCAGGGTTGAAGAGCAAGAAAAGTATGTGCGAAAATCAAATTCATCAGAGCTCGAGCCAGTCCATCGCTCAAACTCTCCTTTCATAGAAAAACCACCGCCATTTAAAACCTGGTCTTTTGAAAAAGAATGTAACCTGAGCTCTTCTTGTCAAAGTCCAGCAGCAAATCGTCCATTCAGAGGCTCCATGCCTTGGAATGAATATCCCTTCGCTGAGTCTACTCTTGCTGAATCCTCCTTCACAAACAAACATGTTAAAACTGTTCCTAATTCTTCTACCCGTCCAATCTCCAAAAGGCCTTCCTTTCAACCATCAAATATAGAGTCCGCTGCACTCGAGCTCGACCTATCTTCAAATTCAAAATTTGTAGGCACATATACAAGCATGGCAGAAACTACTAGTTCACATGGAGAACACCCAATTTCTCCTGTTGTATCAGCTCAGGGTAGTGTCGGCACAGACGAAAAAAGTGAATCCAAAGTTCCTTCATTAGGAATTGGAAAGGATGATTTCCATGAAGAAAAATCCACAAGTACTAGAAGCAAGAAGGTCTGTGTGGATGACACTGACAGAGAGTGGTTGGATGATTCGAATCCTGAGAAGAAAACTTGTGATAGCATCAGAAATGAAACGGAAAACAAATCTCTGGCAGTGGAGTATTTGGAGGCCTCCCATTCTTCTGGCCATGTAAAAAACGGTGATGTTGACAAGTACGTAATTTTTACCCTTTCTTTAACCCATTTCAATGGTAAACTGCACTTTTAGATCTCTACTAAATAAGTTTAAACTGGGTCTAGATTTAACTCCGATGATAAAGTTTCTATTCCATATTCTAAAGGAGAAAAGGGTATGTACATTCATTATTATTCTTGTTATTTAGCTTGCATGGTTCAATGGTAGCTATAGGATTGATAAGGCTCATTTGTAAAGTACAGAAGTAAGAGATGTTAAGGTGGAGAGAAGTAAGACGAGGAGCAAAAGTTGCAGCATGGACTCATCTTCACAGGTGATGATGCTTGAAAGTTATGTTCTCCAGCTTCTCTTCGTGCAAAAGGTACTTCTAAAGCAAGCATCTTCACAAGATTTTATGAAAAATGCATGAAATTCTTCTCTTTACTCGTTCTGATGCATGCGATTCCGAACCATTTCATATTTGACTCTTTTCATTTACTCATCATCTGCTGAAAATTTGAAGGTCTGTCTGAATATTTTTGTGTGTTTGCCTTAAAACTACTAGTATTTTGTCGCATGGTGGACTAGTTGATGAAAAAGGGACATTGTTCTTAGTTTTTAGGTTTCTTTTCGATGAGATATGGAGGTTGATAGGCCTCCTTTGGTCCTCGACCTCAATTTCCTTTTGAACCATTTCTTTTTCTTGTCATCAACCAACCACACTTCTAAACTATCTTGCCTGCCTCTCTTAGAAAGCGACAGACACCTAAGAATTTTTTTTAGGGTTAAATCCCATCGAATATGCTTGAACTTCGGGATATGTTTCCATCACAACTCTAGATTTTGGAAATTTTTCGATTTTACCTCTACACTTTAAAATTTGTTCAAAAAAAAATATCATTAGAGATTTTTTTTCTTTCGTTTATTTGATGGCTAATACGTAAAAATTGAAAGTCATACGTAACACCCTTTATAAAATTCATACAAATTAATACAACAGCTGCTCTGTAAAAATTAATTATATAAAATATTTTAATGATGTCTTTTGAAACGAAAACGAAAATATGTTAACAATGATCTTAAATTCTTGTGTAGTTGTAAATATTTTTACTTGTCTCTTAATTTTAGTTATAAATGAAAAAAATGATAACTTTCAGATAATTGGTATAATTTAACTTTTTTTTTCGTGACTTAGATGTAATATTCTTGGTTGGGTTTTATATTTTCTTCAGCTACTCAAATTAGAGATTCTCAAGTCAATTTGATAAAGCACTTTTGTGAAAGTTCAATTCCTAATCATATTCCTTTAAATTAAGGGGGAAATAACAAAAAAAAAAAAAAAAA